CAATCAGCCTATTCAGGTTTGTGTAAGTTGGCCGCTCAATGTCCAGGTTCCTACGGCAGATATCATAGATGGCTTCGTTGTCCACCATGAAAGCACAGTCTGAGTGCTCAAGGGTGGTATGGGTGGTGAGGATTGAATTGTAGGGCTCCACCACAGCTGTTGATATTTGAGGTGCTGGGTAAATAGAGAATTCCAGCTTGGACTTCTTGCCATAGTCCACGGAGAGCCTTTCCATCAACAGGGAAGTAAAGCCTGATCCGGTGCCTCCTCCAAAACTGTGAAAGATGAGGAATCCCTGCAACCCTGTGCATTGGTCTGCCTGGAGACATGGAGAAAACAAATCAAGAAACAGTAAGTTGGATTTAGGGAGTTTGGTGGAGTGGACTGAAATATATCCAACACTTCTCATTCAGCCATGTATTATCTACATTCCTGTAAATTAAGGAGAACTCCTTCCATATTCCTAATGACAAATCCAACCACCTCCTAACAACAGCTTTCCATATCATCAACTTCAATTACCAGCTTTCGGATCCTGTCCAACACCAAATCAATTATTTCTTTGCCAATAGTGTAGTGACCACGAGCATAGTTATTGGCAGCATCTTCCTTTCCGGTGATCAGCTGTTCTGGGTGGAAGAGTTGACGGTATGTGCCAGTCCGAACCTCATCTAGAATTCAAGATACAGAATAGGTCAGATCACTCCCATTCTGACTATGACACTTGTTTTGAATTTGATTTTTTTTTATCCTGCCTTTATGGGTTTTTTTATACATAACTCAAGGTGGCAAACATACCTAATACTGCCTCCTCCTATTTTCCCCACAACAGCCACCCTGTAAGGTGAGTTGGGCTGAGAGAGAGGGACTGGCCCAAAGTCACCCAGCCGGCTTCCATGTCTAAGGTGGGACTAGAACTCACCGTCTCCTGCTTTCTAGCCTGGTGCTTTCACCACTAGACCAAACTGGCTCTTCTTGCCTTCTGGAATTTGTACACTGTTTTTTGTTTGTTTTTTGTATTTTCAGCTGCTCTCCTTCAAGGCTTGCTAGGGATTATGGTTGCTAGAGTATGAAACTGGTACAGCTTTGAGAATCTTTTTAGGAGATGCAGAATTCTTAACTATCCAATCGACCACTGCCATTATGCAGAGATTTGGGGGCACATAATAGTTAATTTTCATTTATTATATTTATACCACAAAATCCAATGGTTTGGGCTGTCTTTGGATTCTGGAAAGTACCCAGTAAAAGTATACAGAGATACCTCAGAATGACTCAGTCAGGTTCCCTTCCTAATAGGCAGCACTCACCAATCACAGTAGGTTCTAGGTCCACAAAGACAGCTCGGGGCACATGTTTCCCAGCCCCGGTTTCACTAAAGAAGGTATTAAAGGAGTCATCTCCACCTCCAATAGTTTTGTCACTGGGCATCTGCCCATCTGGCTGAATTCCATGCTCCAGACAGTACAGCTCCCAACATGCATTGCCGATCTGCACACCAGCCTGGCCAACATGGACAGAAATGCATTCACGCTGAGAAAAACAAACAAAATCCATTATTAGTGTAGAAGCTACCTGTGATCAGAGCTAGAATACAGAACTCGGTATGCATCTGCTGAATGTGGGTGAGCTGCCCAAACTTCTGGATGATGAATCTTCTAAGCAGTGAAGCGTTCCTAGAGTCTCTGTTGGCCTTGCCAGCCACGCTGGTTATCATATCCTCCTAGGCAAGGGAGGTTATTACAGGCTTCTAGTCTGAGTTGGGGTTTGCCTGAGTAAGAAGGTCTTCTTAGCTCTGCCTATTTGACTCAGGTTTCCTGGCATACCTCCTGGTTCCCCTCTAACAGTTCAGTCCTGGCATTATCCCAGCAAGTATCTAGGAGATATTCTGTCTTCATCCAGGTACAAAGTTTATAATCTGGGCTATAAGGAAAGAAAGGTCTCCTCTCTCAAGCTTCTAGGACATGCACATAACTGAGCGGTAGAAGATCACCTGGGATAAAAAGACCTTTTGCTAGACCTCCTAGAACTGGTCAAAAGGTATCTTCCTTCCTTTAATTTATCCTCTGCTGGTGGTTGAAGATATTAATTTGACCAATTGAGCCTTATCTGGAAAAGCTGAACGAATACTTTTGCCCAAGCTACATAGGTAGAACACATGGGTCAGTACCGTGCTTCAGATAACATGTCATGGGAAGGAAGCCACAGGGCTGTTTTTATATAACATGTTACTTTATATTTAAAATGTTGCGCTGATGTCCTCTTTTTCTTCTCCAAGAAGAGTAACTTTAACTTTATCAACATTTTCTTATTTATTTATTTACATTAAATTTATACCTTGCCTTTTGGTTTACATCAGTGCTTAACAAGCTTGAAAATACATTTTCTTCCTTATTTGTTTACATCGGTATCAACTCCAAGTATAGGAAAGCTGCTGAACTCCTAGTGCATAGGAGTGTTGTAGCCAACAGTTTTATTCCATATTTCTTAAGCTGAGAAAAAAAACACCCTGTATTTAGAAACCACTTGTTGAGGTGGTGATTCAGTTTCAGGCCATGAGTGTATTTGAAGGCTGGGTAGGGGTTTGACTTCATGCCTGCAAATCTAGCACTCTGTTTCCCCACAGAGATGCTCTTCTTTGAACCAGATGCCCAAGGGCGTACCTGCTGGGTTACCAAAACCTGTTTTTTGGCGTAGCGATGGAGCATCCATAGCTGACCCAAAGTGCTTTCAAAAATATAGAGTTAACCCTGCCTTTATCTGGAATTGAGGCTAAGCCAAAGTGAGGGGGTGGGGGGAAGAGGACAAGTTGGAAAACAAAACAAATCTAACACCTTCAACTTCCCCATCCTGGACACCCTCCAAATATGTCCCAGATTTCTAGTAATAGACATACTTCCCGGGATTTCTGGGAATAGACAGCTGTACATCTGGAGAGTGCTCGGGTACGTGAAGGCTGTTTCCCTCCATTATTATGGAATCTTTGTTTCTTCTCTCTTTTTTTATGCATTGTACATTTTAAGATACATCTCAGCACAGACCTAAGCATTACTGTAGTTCCACAGAAAAGGCACTGGGATCGCATTGCACATTACACATTAAAAGAGAGAGATATCACGGCCCAGAAGACTATTAAAGAGCTCCCTTCCACCTCCAGGGAAGCTAACAAGTCCAGGCAAGACTCACCATCTTGCAAAACTTCTTTGACCTGGCAGCGATGAGCCCAGAGGACGAAGGATGGGAAGTAAGCTGTCGTTTGCAAGGCTGGCTTTTATAGCGTTGCCAGCAAAAAGAAATGCTTTGTTGTTAGAAACGGACATAGGTTAGCTTTTGTCAGAATGGTTTCTGAGTTACAGTCCAGCTCAACAAGTAATCAGTAATGAAAGCAGAGCTAGGCCTTGGTTACAACTAACAATTCTATAACTAACCCAGATTGTGCACATGTGTTGCGGGGGGAGCATACAGAACATTCGGGCAACAGAAAAATCTCACTATGTTACTTAGTCAAGATGCATAGCTGAAGCAAGGCTGAACTTAGTGGATTTTAAACATGATATTGAGTATTTTGATTTAATTCTCCTATTTGCTTAATTTCCCTGGTTGTTCTTCGGAACATGGGATGTTAATGATTATATTATCATTTTATTATATCATTATATTTGTACTGTTACATTTTAGTCTGGAGGGGTCTGTAAACCGCTCAGAATCAGGCATGTCTGAAGCAGCATATAAGCCTAGTAAAATAAATGAACAAAAATAAATAATTACCTCTTATACTAGCAGAGGAAGCTAGAGGATAGGCCAGTGCAGGGTTTTTCCAAGATGCGCCATGGAACTGCAGAGTTCTGTGAGAATGTGATGGGGTTCTGCGAGAGACTAATGACATTTAGGACAAAAAAAACCCCCTCACTTCAAGGCATCCAATTTTCTGTCACTAGAGCTTTGGCTCTTGATCAGAGGTTCTGGGAATTTTTTTTTCCACCTAACAATTTCCTCAGTTTGAAAAACTTTGAAAACCCCTGGGATACTGTATGTAGTTCAGAGCATGGAAACTGTGCCATTAGGAAAGCAAATCTGCCTGAGTAGAAAATATGGAACAGCAACACACCCCTTCTGCTTCTCAGCCTGGTTGCAGCTTGGCGAAAGAGGTAACACAGTATATTCTGAAAATACAGCATTAGTCTCTTCAGCCCGAGGCTTACTGAATGGACAAGGTAAGTTAGCTGACAGAGTCAGTCTACTGCTCTGCATTAGGCCCTTCTGTCCCGTCTGAATTATGCCCATGAAATGCAGTCCATGAGTCTTGTTTAAAAGAGAAGAATGGTTCATTCGAACTTCTCAATTCAAACATACGTATGGGGAAGCGGGAATTCCCACTTTGATATCACTGGGAGAGAACATCTTCACAGCCTGATGTAGTTTAAGCAAGTGACATCAACTGTGGCTTGATTTATAACTCCTTGCTAAACCATCACTGTTTGTGTTTCCAGAGTGTGCTAAGCCACAAACAGTGGTTTATAAACCACAACTGTATTCACACAACACACCAAGCCAAAACCAAAGAAGCCCTATTATGGTTTAGTGTGTTTATGAATCCAGCCAATGAGGGTGAGAACCAAATGAGTTTGAAGATATTGGCAAAACTATTTAGAGACTATGTTGGCACTTGAAACTCCTGCTCATGTGGAATAGCAGATGCAGACTTAGTTTCCCATTCTTTCCACTCCACCCTTTCTATTTGTTGTGCTAATGTTGGTAATTGTGATTTGGGCAACCTGTAGTTTGGGATATGACAAAAACAGGACATAGTATAATTCTATGAGGACAGAAGGCTCGGTTGGGTTAAGTGAAAAATGTAGTAATAAATTGAAATCATTCCTTTGTTATACTGTTATAAATCATTAAACAATCTGAGCAGTAATTTAAGAAGCAGCTTACTGCTAGTGCATGTCAAATGAATCCTACTATGCATTATTTATATTGTCTAGTTTAGCTATACACTAGGAAAATAATTAAAAGGCAAGGTAGAAATATCATGAACGCATATATATTGATCAGGGCTATTAAAAGTGGCATAGCTCTGCCCTTCGTCCTATAAAGGAACCCCTGGGGCGGGACTACTGGTCTCCCCCATGTGGTCAAACATCTTCCTTCTGCAACAACTCTCCCATTGATGAGAGGAATAGGCAAAGCCAGGGTTGATCCTGCATCATATTTTCTGCCTCACCTGCCCCAGGCCATATCAGCACATCCACACACCACGTTTCATCTGCTGCCTGATGGGTGGGGCAACTCCTCAATAGAGTTCATATCAATAGGACCTGTCTAGACTTGTTAAGAGTTTTGCCTCTTGGACTCAGAAGCAAGTTACAGCGTTGCCCACCAACAGTACAGAGCCAAGTAGGCAATGTCTGGCATTGTTTCCAAGGCAACGGACAAGTCTGAACACAGAGCTGCCTGAGAAGAACCACAGAGGCCTGTTGTCGGGCAGAACGGGTAGGAGCTGTTCAGAGGGGTACGTGCTTCTCTCTCCTTTTAAACTGGATGATTCCAGCAAGTTTGAATTTGGAAAAGCCGGTGATTATTCCCAGCAAAGGAAACAAATGGATCTTAGTTATAGCTTCCGTCCACCACCTTTCACCCTTTGTACCATGATGGATCACAGCTGGAATTGTCTGTCATGCCAGGGAGCAGAAGCCCCAACCCTAGAGCCTTCAGCGGAGCAAGTAATCGCCCTGTTCTCGAAGCATGACCAGAGAAAACTGACTTTTCTTCTACTGGTGCATAACTTTATAGACTAATAGCACTCAAAACTTACATTTAGCAATGCTGGAGGAGGGGGAAGCAAATGGCAAGATCAAAGGGCCTCTGCTTACTTTTATGCTTGCAGAACTTATGGGTGAGTGACTACTTGACCTTTATAATAGTAAAATGTCTGTGTCTGGCTCTGAGTATGACAGGAATTTGCTAGCTCTTTATCTGCTTCTGTTGCCAATTATTGTTCTACCAAGACTGAGGAGGATCAAGAGTTTAAATAGCAGTTATTCAGCCTTTCTATATTTTTGCAACTTTTTGTTTTAATTTAAAATGTCAAAAGAAGACTGCAAGTGAGTGGGTGAAGAAAAGGACAGAAATAGATATATTTAGGATTTATTTTGTTTTACAACTACCTAGCCAGACTGTAATTCCACGCTGCAAAAAGTTCTGTGCTCCATTGCTAAACCGACCGGAATTTTAACTTAGCACTGCCCTCTGGTGTTAATTTATATTACTGCACAGTTGCTGCATGTACAGTATGAGGAACTGTTTGAGCTTCAGGACCTTGAGGTCATCAAACTCTTGTTGAGGAGAGTACAGACTAGAGCAGTGTTTCTCAAACTTAGTAACTTTAAGATGTGTGGACTTCAACTCCCAGAATTCCCTAGCCAGCATGCTGGCTGGAGAAT